GGCCCAGCTGCTTAGAAAATGCCTGGAAGATGCACTTTATGGACAGGACACTAATGATTTCACAGTAGCGCAGCCCTACTGCGTTGCAAACAAAAACCTGGACTTTGGCAAGTCTAAAATGTCACCTGAGACCGTGCATGACTCTAGGAAAAGGGTAGAGAATTGGATGAACAAATACTACGTCGTTGATGTTGGCCCCGGTATAGGGAAAGAACATTAAGCTTGTACYTACGTTAAACATCATGCGTGAATGTGCGTACTARTTGCGGTTGTACATTTGTGCACTGTGAACACACATATTTAAATTTTTTTGATCTTTATAAATTAATTATATTATTATTAAAGCTAGGAACATTAATTTTATTTAATATTCTTTCATTTAAATCGCATCAAATAAGTAACACAGAATTTTAGTTATTTTTTTTATAAATATTGTTTGTGTTTTATTGTAGATGCCACCATATAGCAAATAAATACAGGAAGGTGTTTTGGCGCCTAAGGCGGTCCAAACCTCTCACCCAAAAACAATATTTTTATGTCTTCTAAAAATATTTTAGAAAATTCGTAAGAATTTAAGTATTTTAATACAGTTTTATAGAGCAGTATCAATATTTTCTACCAATAATATTTGTGTCTACCAAAATAAAAATAAAATACAGATATCGATTAAATATCATAGATTTATACCATATGCATTGCGCCAGTGCATAAATTGGAAATTGGAAATAGCTAGGGCTCTTAGACTGAAAATTGTAAAACTCAATGGTTATATAGCAATAACTTGAAGTTTTATAAATTACAATGAATTAAAAATAAAGATTTGAGTATATAATGAAAATTATTTGAAATGAATTTATTATAAAAATTAAATATTAAAATAATATTCTAAAATAAATTAAATTTTTATGAATATAATATGATATTATAGAATTGTGTTTTTTGTTACTCATTGTATAAATTAATTATATTTTATATTTTACTGTGGAAAAGGGAGAAAGAACGATAGTTTCTTCAGAATTATGTTTTTAATTTATGAAGTATAAAGAATAGATAATGTATTTTATTAATTATCTTATTTTTATGAAGAATTTAATGATTCAGCTTTTGGTTTTAATCAATACCTACACAAAATGTTTTTATATAAAATATTAAGACTAAGAAAAATTTCTCGTTCAAAAATAGAGTTTAATCATGATAATTAATATATTTGTATTTATTGATGTTTTAACAAAATTATAAATCGATTCTTGTATTTTAATGGAGAACACTGACATAATACAATCAACAATATTGAAAAATATTATTGACTTATATACTCAAAAGTTTATTACTAGGCTAAAATGTTTGAATATAGTTTGTCATCACTACAAAAAATGATTGAAATAAAAAAAACTTATAAAAATGACAAAAATTTAATTTGAAAATTTAAAAAAAAAATAAATGAATAATAATTATAATATGACGTATAATACAATGTATAAGTATAATATAATAATTATAATGTATGTATAATTAACATAGTACGATGTATAAAACAATCATTTTTAAGTTTTAACCACACCAATGATTAAAATCGTTATCTGTTCTATTTTCCTAAACTTGTAAGTGGGAAAGAAAATGAGTGTTTATTAAATATTTAACCCCTTCATATGCATGATAATTTTATTAAAAAACTTTTTTTGAGCCCAAGTGCAATTCGACCACTACCTGCTTTTTACCCGAGTGCAGTTCGACCATTATCTTTTTAAACCCAAATGTAATTCTAATAAAATAAGTGCGATTTGACCATATACTCAAATTTAACAATTAAAAAAATTATAAAATATGGAACATGGTAATATTGTACTGTAAAAGAAATGCGACTAATCCAGTTTCAGCCTGACCAAAGCTGCTGCTGGGCACCTCCATTTTATTTATTTTTTAGGTTGAACCCTAGTAGATTTGTTACTGAGCGTTTTTTATTATGTTGAAAAAACATTTTTAAAAGGAAGAACCAATTATTTCCAATTTTAACTTCAATAATATAGTAGGTACACATCATGACGCATCTTATTTTTTCAATTGAATTGATCGTACCTAATCTTTTATTTTAAATAATTTATTTTAAATAAATTAAATAATTTTATTTATAATAAAAAGCTGCTCCGTCTGGACGCGCCTTAAGATGTCTCACGGACATCTTGTGCRAAGAGAAGAACCCACAATTTGCCAGACCTACGGAAAACCTCTCACAGTCAAACATCTCCTCATATACACTGTGAAACCACATAGAAATTAGAAATAGCCTAAGGATTCCAGACAACCTATAATAAACCCTTTGTCCATCTGAAGATTCCACCAAAAAAATTATTTTATTTCTTAAATTCATTCATATACACAACTGACTAATCATATTTAGAAATAGTTTTTAACTGACAGTCAATATTATCTTGCCAACCAATATTGTTCCCGTGATCAATATTTTTCGTGACCCATTTGTAATACTGCCCATTTAAATGAAGACATTTTTGTTTATATTTATATTTTAATAGGTACTTTATATGCTTTTATGATTGAATAATAAAATAATTATAAATATTAATTACACATAAATCTTGCTCGACATGAAATAATCTTAATAAACTTATAGAGCAAAACGTATTGTGGCTTTTCGTATTTTAAAATTATCTTTCAAGTAGGTACCTACCAAACTACTATGTGCCATTGTGCCAATCGATAAGTGTAGCACACACGGTATCATTATTTTCGTACAATGTTTACAATAATTATATGCACCGTGCCATCTATCAAGAACATTAATAACTAAGTCGTCAACAAACGAACAAAAATAATAATAACAATAAACCACAATTATAATCAGAAACAGCAGCGTAATTAAGGGTGACGACTGACGAGGAGGATAGATGCCCCAAAACTTTTATTTGACCACCTACTAACATTTTATAATTTGTGGGCTAAGTTACAACTGTATGACCCATGAGGATTACAGATTTCGCTAAAAACATATAATCCTCACCCAAACCAAATTCCTAATTACGCCACTGATCAGAGAACCTATTGTAACTATTTTTATAAATTTATAAAAATACTACATCGATCCTTTATTCCTATAGTAATGAGTAATGACTTATAATAATTAATATCATCTTAATTATCACACCATATTATTACAATTAATAATTGATGTATAATAAATTATCTCTTACTTTATAATCTGTCTGATGTAATAATTTAACTAATTTAAGTGAGTACCTACCTAGTATCTATAACAATTTAAAAGATGAGATAAATGTGCTGATTTTTTTATGAAAAAGGCTTAAGGATTTGCTTAAATCTATACTTGAAAAAGCATGAATTATCAAAAAAGGCATCTTATTATTATCATTAGAGAGAAAAACAGGATGAACATGTTGTTCACAGGGCGACTGGATTTAAGATCCACTTGGGTGACTGTGAACCACACCGAGACCACTTGTCCACAATAGTCCAATAGTTGCCACTGATACTATTTTAGATTCTGAGTGGAGCGATGAATGTATTGATTTTACAATAATGAGTGTCTGTATTTTTGTGCCTGTCTACACAGTAAGTGGTAGAAATGATCCTTCGATTTTCAACTTTAATATTCTATAATTGAAAAATATATCCATTTATAATATCATATACCTACTTATAATCAATACCATATAGTCAATAGACTATGGACTGTATAGTTAGCTCTAAATTTAGACTCCTAATCGTGGTTGTCGTAGTAATGTTATGAATTATATCTTCTTTATATGACTCATATATAACATCGAATTTTTTATTTTCAGTCTCATTTTCATACTCATGTCAGCTTGACTTTGGACTTAAGGACTTAGGCCAGACCACAATTGCCCGGTTATATTATTTTAAACATTAAACACAATATAAATGATAAATATAGAGTGCTTATACGCAATTAAGATAAGGTAGGTACTAAGGGTAATAATATGGATTATAAATACCTACTAAAATTAATGGTAATAGGTACCTAGTACCTACTAGATAAGTATTAAGTGCTTACCTCTATATATGCTTTCATTTATTTACTTACAGTTTAATCTGAAAACATTATATTAGTTATTACCAAGTACCAACTAGCTATTTTAGGAGGTAATTAAATAATTTACAGCCAAAATTGTATTGATGATTAATTTTAAAATGACCTAGTGAAACCATCTCTACTGCGTGTGGTAGGTATTTAATTTTAAATAAAATTTTACAACACATAATAGGTATAGGTATATTCTTTATAGAATCTAGGAACAAACGACACGGAAATAAACGACAGTAAAAAAAAAAAAAATGACAAATGCATTTTACTAAAAGATCACAAATATTAGTTATAAGTATGGGTATTATCAAATTAAAATATTAAAATTATCAACTACTTATTGACTTTGAAACATAGGTATATCTATTATGATTAAATTTTTAAATTACATATATTAACATAACATATCATCATCGCGACGTCGCTCGCCGAAACAATCGAAACGTGATTATATTATGTTAGTACCTAAGCATAAACTATAAAATATTACAGACGAGATTGGAAAGTCTTAAGCCCYAATCCCCATCTAAACCAAAAACAAAATTGTCAACATTTTCCGCCATTGTTGTCAACAATGTTTCTGATTTTCCGTTTTAAGCGGTAACATAAATATTTGTCGACCCTCGGCGACAATGCCAGAAACATTATATTATGATGTATTATGTTTCCAAAAAATGTTTTTTGGTTGAACTGAGGGCTGAGGCTTACAAGTATTACATTTAAAGATCAAAATTGTCCATATTAATAATAATATAATATGAAAGATGAACAATTAAAAACACTCAAATCAGTGGCCTAAAACTTCGTACGGTAAATTCAGTTACGAGACATGGTCACTCTGCGAGTAGTAGCAGCTACGGCAATCAGATTATCAGAATAATAAATAATAATAATATTATTATCTTAGTCCGTGATTATTAGTTATTACTAAATTAGTAATACTAATTACTATACGACTACGTCTTTATAATTCAGCAATAATTGCCAATTAGTCATTCTCGTTTTACAGAGTTTTGTGTTTGCAATAAACAAAAACAACCCAACCAGTTCACGGTTATACGGACGTTTGACGGATGTGGATGAGTCATACCAAAATCCATCTCTCATGCTAAAATGAATAATGATAACATAGCAATATAGCATTAACATATTGTATTGTATAGAACATTAAGACGATTCATAACAATTTTGTTGCAGTACGACTGAGTTGAAGGTTGTTCTTASTTACGTTCTCATTTGTATTCTGTGCTATCYCTGGAAATTTCAAACTTTTAGTTTACAACAAAAGCGAATAAAAAAACATTTCAGTAAGTATGTATTGTCTGGTATTTAATTTTGTTCTGAAAATAATATCAGATTCTTTTTCTTTCCTAAACGCCATATTAATATCTGGGTACATAATATGATACCGTAATGTGTATATATTGTCAATTTAACATTGATTCACCTCAACATAAATATTATTGAGATCCACTATATAAGGGTTAATTTTATAAAATCTACAATTTTATTTTTTGTTTAAAATTATTATACAAACTGCCTATATTATTACTTTAAACAAAAGCAAAGAAAATTTTGCAAAATATTATGTAATAAATTCTTATGATAAGTACTTACCTAGGATACTTAGGTAAAGTATAAAAAAAACTTTTTTTAAATAGTCTCATTCATAGAAACCATATGTAGAACCATTATTTTAACTAAAGAAATATTATTTAAATTTTATTAATTGTACCTACATGATACTGTATGAAAAAATTTCTATTTTTTCATTGTTTTGTGTACATAATATTAAATGTAATTAAAAAATACCAAATAATTAGGCTAATGTTTCTTCAAAAAACAACAGCAAGTGTTTTTCTAATTGTGTTACTCATAATAATTTTTCAAATCAAATAATAATATCTCGTAGCTTATAAAATAAAAAAAAAACAATACATAATTTATACTTAAGAGGACGCCACACCCGCATGTGTTGTCTTCGTCGTACAAGTGCGTAGCATAGCAAATTTTACGCTCAGCGGATCACGTTTATCTCCGTTATTTTAAAATTTAGAGTGAATTGACCTATTATAAAAATTAAAGGCAAGATTATTACCGAGTGCATCTCATAGGCTTTTTATTATATTTTAATTTTAAGCCGAGTTATGAGTATTTTTAGATATAAAAATTATTTACAATTTTTATTTAACATTTAACGTTTATATTTAACAGTTGAGTAATACTTATTTCTGATTTTGGATCTTACAATGCTTTTTGAAATTTGCATTTTAATAAATAATTTTTTTTTTTTTGTATACCTAATTATAATTTATAAATCATAATCAATTAATAATTAATAAATATAGTAGATTTTTTGTTCTTGTGACCTCCCCCCCTCTGACGTATATAATTTAATATATCAGTCTATTTTATTGATTAAAGATGACGCCAAAAAAATGTACAGTTTAAAAATTGTTATGACTTACTTATTTAAAAAAATATTTATCAATAAAAACCTCCAAGATGCTCTAGATACTAATATTACCTTCATACTTTATTATGAGTCAATTCACTCTAATCTTAAAAATGATTATTATTTTGAACTTAAAATCTTACATTTTATACATCTATAAAATAGACAAAATTTAAGGTTGTGACGTCCTCTAAACAAAACACATTTTACTTTTCTAATCTACGGTTTTGAATATTGTAGGTATTGACAATTCAATTTAAACAGTGCCTATGATGGAGTCACAAATAAAAAATCAGAATGACTTATTACAGAAATTAAAATCTTTACAAGCAGAAAAAGAATTATTAGAAAAACAAGTATTTTTACTCAATGAATGTTTGTCTGTGGAGGAATTAAAAGCTAAAATATCTAATTTGGAAAAAAAAAAAGAGAAGTTGGTATCATTAGAAAATATAATTGGAAGATTACGTGCTGAGATTGAGCCGCTAAATTATTTGAAAACTATTTTAAAAACTAAATTAGTTGACGAGAATAAAGTTCAATCAAATAATATTGGGCCAGAGTTTGGTGCTGTCTTGGAAGCACATGCTGAGATTGAGCCGCTTAAGAATTTAAATACTATTTCGACCACTGAGTCAGATGTTGAGAAAAAAATTCAGTCTAATAATATTGGGTCAGCATCTAATATTTATTTAGGATCTTATCCTCGAGTTCCTAAACTTAATAAGGAAGTTCAAAACAGTCCATCTGTTGATTTTAAATTAGTACAACCTGTTGGATTCAAAACTTCTATTTCTCAAAGTGCACAAAACATTCCTACTGACTCAGGCAAAAGTTATTTGGCTTTGAACCCAAAGTTAAAAAATGTTAACCCCATTAACACATTCCAAACACCAATACCATCTAAATCTAATTCAGTTTCAACTGAAAATGATGGCTGTCTTGATGAATGTATGCAATTGTTAGATCAATACGATGTAGTTACTGATCAAGAAATATTAAACTTCCCTTCAGAAGAAGTCAGTATAATTTTATATTTTCTTAACAGTTTTAAAATTCAAGTTTTAATATTTTATTTTTACAGAATGATTTGAAAAGTCGAAGTGTTGACCAAGAACCTACCAATATTGCTATTGATGTTGAAAATGGAATACAGGATACACAAATAGAAACCAAAACAACTTATTGTTTTGATACTGAAGGCAATTTACAATCTCAAAGCCAAGTACCTATAAAAGTAAAGTTTGTTTTATCCATCAATTAAAAAAAAAAGAAAAAATGTTTCCTGTGTGGCATTTTTATTGTTTAAAGTTATATTTATCAAAATTATATTTTTATTTTTAATAGAAAGATGTAGAATTGTGTCTAAACAATTCAGTTAATTCTGTCTCTGTAACATGTGAAAATCCGAGTAGTAAAATTCATGAAGCTAGTACATCTCAACCAACTCTAAACAAAGAAAGTTTATGCTCAGATTCTAATGTTAATATTGGTGATTTGTTACTAAAAATACCACAACTATTATTGCAACAAGGAATGGACTATATTCAAGTTAGTCCATATTATCAAAAATGTTTATTAATTTATCATCTTACACTTATCCAGATCTTAATTTTAATACTAGTAGTTAAGAGAATGCTACACCTGCATAGGCTGTTTCCGTCTTACATAACATGGAAAATTGTACATTCTAAATAATTCATTTAACTATGTAATGATATTATATTGGAGCAATTATCAAATAAAGAAGTAAAAATTTTGTTTCACGAGATTTTTCTTTTCGATAATCAGCAACATGACGTGCTTTATTAAAATTATCAAATAAAGAAGTAAGAGTATTATCTGGTGATCCTCATAATGGTTTTTGTATAAGCAATTAATGAGGATTTTAAAATTGTTAATTGTCTATGCATTTAAAATAGGTATTCATTATTTTAAAATTCAAAATCTAAAAAAAGCTTTTAAGTTTCACTAGATAATATTTAAACTTTTAAATTGTGTATTAGATCAAATCTGTCTGATATTAAACATGCCCAAGTTAAATAGATTATTCAGACGTACAATTTGCTCTGTTATACTTTTGTAGAACAGAGACAACACATATGTCTCCTTAAGATATAACACAATTTACCTCTTACATTATATTCTTAATTATGTCAATTTACTTGGTAGTAGAACAGTTTTTCTAAAATAAACTAATCAAAAAAATGATAAATTAATAGTATTTTTATCACTGTAATTTTAATTTTATACTATAATAATGTATTTTTGATAACAAATATTACAGGATGAAGACGTGAATCAGTCTTTGAAAAATGAAAATGTTAGTRCAAACATCTCATCTAAAGAGCACAATAAAAGCAACAAGAAAAATGAATTAAAAACATTTAAAAAAGAAGTGAATACATTTTTAAATGAATATACAAATTTATTGCAAAACAATTTACATGTATGATGTTTATTTTTAAATTTTTCTCAATTTAAAAATACTTTTTTTTGTTAACAGATAATAGGAAACAATAAGGTATCATCTAATAAAACAGAATCAGGTCAACCTGATGAATTGTCGCCTAGTGCCAGTAATTCTGAATGTAGCATTAATACCTTTAATGATATGAATCTAAAGATTGATATCTTGCGCGGCTTATACTCTCTTGGTTTTATCAATCCAACTGCTTTACAACGACGCACTGCTGTGCACTGCATCAATGGACGAGACATAATAGTTTTTGCTGGACCAGGTAATGGCAGAACAATAATGTTTACCATACCATTATTGCAAYGCATTAAGACCAACTTATATGAGTGTCAAGCATTAGTATTAGTACCAACCCGAGACCTTGCTGTACATATTCAAAAAGTATGCTATAATTAAAATATGGATTTTCATAGCTTTTATGTTTGTTAGTAACCTTATTTAACTATTATAATAACACAATTGTTGAGAATAATAAGTACAATATAATTGTACTTGTTATTATTTCAATTAGAATTTATGATTGTTTTTTCTTTTAATTTAGATCATTATGTGTGTTGGAGACTTTTTGGGTGTTAATGTGTGTATTGGTGGTGACAATGTTCCAAGAAAACTATCTGTTATTCCTCATATAGTCGTTGGTACCCCGGCTGGAGTGTCCAATATGATTTCATGCAAATCTCTCAGTACTACAACCATTCAAACTGTTGTAATCAATAAAGCTGAAGAAATGTTGACTAATAATTATACTATATTAATTAATGAAATAATGGAAAAACTAACAAGGACCAGACAAGTCATTTTACTGACATCAAACAAACTTGATCAAGTATTAGACATTTACATGGAATCCCTACATGATCCATTGGTTATTATTAATGATCAAGAAATAAAATCTGATCTACCAAGTGGTATGTCACCATAAATAATTGTTAATTAGTATTTAGAAATTTAAATTGTTGAATAGCATATAATATTATTTCTTAATGATATGTGTTATTAATACCTTTCAATTTGTTCTGTTTTAATCTTAGATCTTCCAAAACAGTTTTATTTAAACATTCAAAATGAATGGAAAATGAATGCACTTTGCGAAATTAACGAAACATTAAAAATACAGAAATCTATTATTTTCTGCAACACTTTAGATAGAGCTCAACAACTGTGTGAGTCATTACAAAGATTAGAATATGCAGTATCACTTTTTCATTTGGATATGAATGCTCATGAACGCAAGCAAAACCTTGATATGTTTTCTTTAAACAATATTAAAATGCTTATCACCACAGACCCAATCAAAGGCAGACAGTTTCAGCAAGCCGCTTGGATAATAAATTATGATTTGCCTATAAATCCTATTTGTTATCTAGATAGAGTGGCAAAATGTGCTGAAAATATAAAAGTGATAAATCTCATTGATGAAAATGACGACCAAACAAAATTGGCAATTGAAACACACAACAAATCTTATATGATTCAGATACCTCTGAATATGATTGATTTATTACAATATTAGATTCATAATATGATGATTATATTATTATTTTTGAAATTAAGTAGTATTATAACCTACTATTGAACTATTCACAAATCAACTTTTCTAGTAAATGGGTTATTATTTTCCATTATTTTATTATTACTTAGATTAATATTTTAATCCTATTTTTTATGGCACAAGTGATGTTTTTAAAGTTGATTTTTTATTTTATTATATATATATTTACCTTTGTGATTGATGTATGAGTAATACAATACTATWAGAATGTTATTAAAGACATTATTTTAAAAATTATAATTTATAAAATCTTAGTTTTTTTCTTGATTATTATTCATATTATATGTAAAGTATTTTTAAAGTTTGAATATTAAAAAAATAAAGAAAATTTGCAATTTATTTTAATTAGAATTTCACAAAAATGTATCTATTTAAATCTAAGATTTAAAATTCCAATACAAGATTCTCCATAAGTTTGTATATTTTTATCAAATAAAAATCATCTACTGGAATGTTAAAATAAATTTTTATGAACAACTGAATTTCAAATTTTTATATCATTGGATATTCACTCAATTTTTCTTGTATCGATATTTGTAGGCTTGCCATTCGCCCTGGTTTGACCAGGACAGTCTCGGTTTTAACAGCATGTCCTGGTGTCCCGGACGGTCATTAATTTTGTCCCGGTTCATGGAAGACAAGAGAAAATAACTTTAGTATTATTTTGTTTAATAATAAAACATAAAATAATATTGTACATAGAATTTGGGTTTAACTTGCAAAGAATTTTATTTAAAAATTAAAAGTAATACAGCTGTATTGAAAACAATTCATTCAACCGAAAAGTATGAACATTAGGTTATTACTAACAATTAATAAATGTAAATGCAGTAAATGTRGTTTATGYAAAAAATTGYATTGGTTAATACATTTTTCAATTAAAATATGGGATATTATTAATTTCCATATAATTATACAAAAGAAGGTTTTTACTATTTTTATTTTTTATTTTTATTAGCTTCTAGTATTAAATTATGATAACTCAACTATTACAATTGAACATAAATAATAAACAAATTATACGAAAAAAAAAGGTCATTCAATATGATGTCCCGGTTTGACGTTATTAAAATCTGGCAACCCTAGATATTTTTATTTTATTGTAATTCAAAAACGAACAAATGTAGAGACTTTAAATTTACATCATAATATGTTTATTTCAATATTTCATCAATTCCTATACTTGATACAAATGTTCAAGATATTTTAGTTATTTATAGACATTTGACTTTTTCTAGTTTTTATTCTATTAATAAATATCTATAACATTTTATTAATTTTATCAAAATCTCAAAAAGCTTGAAAGCTTAATACAACGTTCCCCATAAATTTTACAGGGTGTAGCTGGTCTATTTGACTAATGGTGATGGTATGCATCATGTGGCCATGTTAAATAATCATAAAATATATGTATTTATTATTGATTTTCCTATATTTTAAATATTTTTTATGATAACAAAATACTGATTAGCTAGAAATAAATTTGAATTTCAACAAACTTTGAAAATTGTTTAAAAATCAATGACATAACCAAATTAAAAGCTTTAAACGCCAAAACTGTTTTTAAATACTTATTTTATAAAATAACTTTCATGGATTATAAGAAAAAAATTGTAATTATTTAATTTTAGTTGTAAAAAAAATATATATATAACATAAAAATTATAGCGCGTAGAGCTCTAGAAATTATTACAATAAAAAAAAACTTAAAAATATTGAATTGAAAAAAGTCATAGCATTATTCAAATAGATCTTTCAAACCCTGTGTAATAGCAGTTGAATTTGAAAATTTATAAATTATGTAGTTATTAAAAATTTATAAAATGTTCAACTTTTATAGCTAAGGATTGAACATTTAAAATAAGGCTTCACATAAGTAGTTAATTCTGCTACAGAAAAAATCTAAAAACTATACAAACACAATTTTTTTTATAGTAATTTTAAGTTCAAATTTGGATACATAATACATAATAAATAACTAAGAATAGCAATTTCAGTTATATTGTTGTAGGTAATTTAAAAATATTATTCGTGGGTTCTCGAATAATTTCTAGAATACACATTATACTTTATAATAAATTGTATATACTACCTATGAATGATTGAGTGAGTCTGGTACTCTGGTAGATAATGAATCTTATTTGATTAATTTGGAATTTATTTTATTGGTATCTAATTTTTTTTTTTTTGAAATTATAACAATATAATTAATATAATAGTAGGTATAAATTTCCTTGATGACAAACCGTCTCCGCTTAGAATCGTTTTTCGTGTAAAATGATATTATATCATTGAATTAAAATTAAATACCATCCATTACACCACAATTATTACAGTACCTATACCTACGCCACGTCTTGTAACCTACTGTACTTCGACAGTTCGACATCCACTTCCCCGCTTTTTTTTTAACAAGTGATAAAACAATTTAAATTAACTACATTATGGGGGAAACCTCCCTGTGGGTRCCCATGCCTGCGTCCTTTGTACAWCCAAAGGACATATTGTTCTATGATACAAAATATTWCCTATAATAATCATTCATCTAATATTTTAATATAGATTAATATTTGTATTTAAAAATTAAAATAATCATTTGAAAAACATAAATATTAGAATAAATAAATCATATTTTGAGCCTATTCGTAATATATTTTAACGCTTATTATTGTAACATTAATCATTTATCATTGATTAGGTAGGTAATAATAAATGATAAAAAAATCAATATGACTGTTTAAAATGTGTTCGGGCTGCTTTATTCGCTGTACCTACCTATGCTAAATCTGTGATTATAGTCTACGCACGCCTATATAAGTACCTACGTACAGATTCAGTAAAGGCTCTTAAAAACGTATCTTTCCTTTATTCAAAACACCTATGTAGGTAGGTACAAGATAAAGTAAGAGTGTTTCCCTCCTATTTATATATTTGGTGCGCAGTGATACCAAGAAAGTGTCAAAAGCTTGATACATCACACGTACATGGCTTACTGATGCCATACAATTTACAAAACAACTCTATAGTGAAAATATGTGAATAAAAAATAATATTCAAAACATTTCTTGTAGAGCCAAGAGGTTGAGAGTGTTGAGACTATAAAAGTATAAAATACATCTCCTTCCATTATAATATATCATGATTGCCAAATTCATAAAAATGTATTTCCAATAAATAAATATTTTAAATCAAACAATTTTTTAGTATAAACTAGTTAACTTTACGGATTATGGATGACTACGTAACACGTTGGTCTTACAAATTATCGCAATATTTATCACCGTGTTAAAGAGTAGTTATATCGAATTGTTATGAATCCTATAGGCTATAATTCTATATGGCAGTCATTCATGATCCTAATGTGAGATCAAGATTATAATGACTATTATTTATTAGCATAGGCATTGCCGCAACTAGGGGAGTGCACAGGGGACTTGTGCACCCCCAAGTTTAAAATGTGCACTCCCAAAAAATATATAAGCCTTTTTCTTTAATATGTTGTACCATAATGTAGGTAGGTAGGTACCTGTTTTGAGAAAAAAAGGTACCTAGTTACCTATTATGTTATGTAGTATGTACCCACGGATAGTAGACATATGTCTACTATCCGTGGTATGTGCCTACCTATATTAGATAATATACTATATAGTCATATAGACATATTGTATACCTAATATACAAATAAATACAATGTGTTCCAGGGGGAGTAACTGGCCCAACGTCATATGAAAATATATACCTCAATAAATACCCCCTTAAGGCTTTAAATAGTGGGTCTAACTTTTTTATCAAAACCAAACCTATAACTCATTTGTTTATATATCTCTAAGACTTTTCAATAATTTGACTTAATTTTGGTATTACAAAGATGTTTTTTTTTTATTCTGTTAACAAAATGTCTACCAGAAGGAGTGCTTCGATTTCCACATATTATATAGTATCTTTTTTTTTAGCAAATTGGATCCAGGTGGTACTTTAGGAAGGTAATTTTTCTATTTTCTCAATAGTTATTTAACGCCACGGTATAAAACCACCGAAAAATTAAGAAAGAACGGGAAGGTTATTAGGGTTTGCTTTGTAAAAAACGCTTTGTTCATCACCTTAGTAACAAATAATATTTAAATATCAAATAAATAAGAAATGTTCTTTCGCCGTTCAGAATCGTTTTTTCATCGAATGTGATCATTGYGTTCTGTAAGATTACATCACTATTGTTATATTTAAGTATATATAGTAATAGTATGTAGCTATATTAGAGTAATATGATATGTATACTGGCGGCGAAGGTGCGTGACTACGAAAACGGACGTTCGAGCTGGAATCTGTTGATCCAGCAATTCCTACCCTGGCCGTTTCGCAGAGAGACCCCTTGGTCACGGCCGCCCAGGCAGTCGTTGGGTTAGACGCACTCAGTATAAGGACCATAAATATACAGATAATCTAAGTAATAAGTCAAGAGTATAATAAGCAATAGATTACAGTTAATTATAGTTTTCGTAGTAATAAACATATCTTTTATTCATTTAATAAACATCTTTACGTAAATTCTTTCAAAACACGTCCTTACTCTCTCTCATCACTAAGGATAACAACGCGCCGGTACACATCATTTGGTAGCAGCGGGAGTCAATATTACGTTTAGCAAAATATGTATATTATATTTATTTGACATTAGGTGTTATTTTTTTTTTATATATATATAAGCGTAATATGAAAACTAATGGGATGAATWGTGTGGGAGTGTGGGGGCTTTGCCCCCACTGGTCAGTAAGCTCTTCACTATTTGTGCACCACCAAAATTATTGGTCTAGTTGAGCATAGGCACTTACGAAGCAAGTTTAACTATAAATTAAATTTAAGTACCTACCTACCTACAGATTATTACTTTACATTTTACGTAAACGACAAACGGACTTGAATTTTAATAAATTATATGTTGGTGTTAAAAAAAAAATGCAATATAGGTACATATACTTATATATAATTGTACAATTACAAGTAATTTTAATATCCGCTCATATTATAGGTAGGTACCTAACGAGTAAATTTTTCATGGAAAGAAATAATTTTTTTCTAAGCTGTTCAATAATTTGATCTCTATCCCAATTGAAAAACTGACTCATGTTTCTATTTTCAAGTAAGTGC